TGGGTAAGTTCTCGGTGGTGATGGCCGACCCCCCCTGGGACATCCACATGGAGCTGCCCTATGGGACCCTCACCGACGATGAGATGCGGCGCCTCAACATCCCCGGCCTGCAGGATGAGGGCTTCCTCTTCCTCTGGGTCACCGGAAGGTCTGACCCCCACTGAAATGGCGGGGGGGGGGGGGGGGGGGGGGGTCCATTGGGGTCTTAGAATGGGGGGGTTCCATTGGGGTCTTCCATTGGGATCTTCCATTTGGGTCCATAGGGGGGGTCCATTGGGGTTGTCCATTGATATCCTCCATTGGGGTCTTCCATTGGGATCTTCCATTGGGGTCGCCATTGGGGTCTTCTATTGGGGTCTTACATTGGGGGGTCCATTGGGGTCTTCCATTGGGGGGTCCATTGGGGGGTTCATTGGGGTCTTCCATTGGGGGGGTCCATTGGGGGGTTCATTGGGGGGTTCCATTGGGGTCTTCCATTGGGGCGGTCCATTGGGGGGTTCATTAGGGGGGTCCATTGGGGTCTTCCATTGGGGTCTCCATTGGGTTCTTCCATGGGGGGGTCCATTTGGGTCTTCCATTGGGGTCTTCCATTGGGGAGTCCATTCGGGGGGTCCATTGGGGGGTTCCATTGAGGTCTCCATTGGGGCCTCCATTGGGGTCCCCCAACCCCATCAGGGCCCCAAACCCCCCTTAGATACCCTCAAACCCCCTTTATTGTCCCCAAATCCCCTTTATTCACCCCAAACCCCCTTTATTCACCCCAAAAACCCCTTTATTGACCCAAAACCCCCCTTTTTGACCCCAAAACCCCCTTGGTGACCCCAATCCCTCCTCTCCACAGGGCCATGGAGCTGGGCCGCGAATGCCTCAACCTCTGGGGGTGAGTTTTGATGTTCTGAGCTCCCCAAAATCACCGTTTTTCACCCCAAAATGACCCAAAATCGCTTTTTCATCCAAAATGATCCAAAATAGCCCTTTTTCACTCCAAAATGACCCAAAATCACCGTTTTTCACCCCAAATGACGCAAAATCGCTTTTTTTCACCCCAAATGACCCAAAATCATCGTTTTTCACCCCAAATGACGCAAAATCGTTTTTTTCACCCCAAATGACCCAAGATCGCCCTTTTTCACCCCAAAATTGCCATTTTTCACCCCAAAATGACCCAAAATCAGTTTTTACCCCAAAATTACCCAAAATCACCCTTTTTCACCCCAAAATGACCCAAAATTGCTTTTTCACCCAAAATGACCCAAAATCACCCTTTTTCACCCCAAAATCGCCGTTTTCACCCCAAATGACCCAAAATTGCCCTTTTTCACCCTAAATGACCCAAAATCACCTTTTTACACCCCAAAATCGCCATTTTTCACCCCAAATGACCCAAAATCGCTTTTTCACCCCAAATGACCCAAAATCGCGGTTTTTTCCCCCAAACGGGCAGGTACGAGCGGGTGGATGAGATCATCTGGGTGAAGACCAATCAGCTGCAGCGAATCATCCGCACCGGCCGCACCGGGCACTGGCTCAACCACGGCAAGGAGCACTGCTTGGTATGGGGGGAAAACGGGCGATTTTGGGTCTTTTGGGGTGAAAAAGGGGGATTTGGGGTCTTTTGGGGTGAAAAAGGGGGATTTTGGGTCTTTTGGGGTGAAAAAGGGGGATTTTGGGTATTTTGGGGTGAAAAAAGGGGGATTTTGGGTCTTTTGGAATGAAAAAGGGGAATTTTGGTTCTTTTGGGGTGAAAAAGGGGGATTTTGGGTCTTTTGGGTGAAAAAGGGGGATTTGGGGTCTTTTGGGGTGAAAATGGCGATTTTGGGTCATTTGGGGTGAAAAAGGGGGATTTAGGGTCTTGGGGTGGAAAAGGGGGATTTTGGGTCTGGGAGGGGGGTTTTGGGGTGGAAAAGGGGGATTTTGGGTCTGGGAGGGGGTTTTGGGGTGGAAAAGGGGGATTTTGGGTCCAAGAGGGGGGTTTTGGGGTGGAAAAGGGGGATTTTGGGGTGGAAAAGGGGGATTTTGGTGTCCTGGACTGGGCTTTTGGGGTGGAAAAGGGGGATTTTGGGTCCAAGAGTGGGGTTTTGAGGTGGAAAAGGGGGATTTTGTGTTCCGAAAGGCCTATTTTGGGTTCAGAAAGGCAGATTTTGGGTTCAGAAAGGCAGATTTTGGGTACAGAAAGGCCGATTTTGGGTACAGAAAGGCAGATTTTGGGTTCGGAAATGCAGATTTTGTCTCATTTTGGGTCAAAACCCCCCATTTTTCCCTATGAGGTCGGGGTGAAAGGCAACCCCCAAGGCTTCAACCGGGGCTTGGACTGCGACGTCATCGTGGCCGAGGTGACGCCCTTTAAACCCCAGCCAATCACAGCCGCCGCCGCTGATGACGTCATTGGCGGCGTCATTTGCATATGCTAATGAGGGCGTCGGTGTCGACCAATCAGGTGCGGTCGACGAGCCACAAGCCGGATGAGATCTATGGGATGATCGAGAGGCTCTCGCCCGGCACGCGCAAGATCGAGCTCTTCGGGCGGCCCCACAACGTCCAGCCCAACTGGTAATTAGCATCTCATTAGCATATAATTAACATCTCATTAGCATCTGATTAACGGGGGATTGATAGCTCGCTAATAGGTGCTTAATAGCGCGATAATGGTTAATCTATAGTGGGTAATAAATAGGTTGGGAATGGGTGATAATAGTGCGGTAATGGGGAATTAATAGGGAATTAATGGAGAATTAATGGATCGGTAATAGATTGGTGATGGATAATTAATGAGGGTGAATTGATAGGTTGGTAATGGGTGATTAATGGATAATTGATGGCTTGGTAATAGGTCAGATGGATAATTAGTAATTAATGGGTAATTGATAGCTTGGTAATGGCTAATTAATAATTAATAGCTTGCTAATAGCTCATAATGGATAATTAGTAAGTAATGAATGGCTAATTAATAACTCAGTAATGGCTATTCAAGAACTAAGTGATGGTTAATTAATAGCTTGCTAATAGCTCAGTAATGACTATTCAGTAACTAATTATGACTAATTAATAATTCAGTAATGGCTGTTCAAGAACTAATTAATGGTTAATATTTTGTTAATAGCTTGGTAATGGATAATTAATAACCAATTAATGGCTAACTCATAGCTCACTAAAGACTATTCAAGCAGTAATTAAATAGCTTGTTAACAGCTCAGTAATGGCTATTCAAGAACTAATGAATGACTAATTAATACCTATTAATAGACTGATAGATGAATGAATGCCCCTAGCTAAGGAATGACCCCAATGAATGAATGATCGACCCTAATGAATGAATGACCATCATTAATGAATTAATGACCTTAATGGGTTAACTAATGACCCTAATGAGTTAATTAACGATGCTAATGAGATTATTAATTATTAATGATTAATGACAATTAATTACCAGGATCACGCTGGGGAACCAGCTGGACGGGATCCACCTGCTGGACCCGGACGTGGTCGCGCACTTCAAGCGGCTCTACCCCGACGGCGTCATCTCCAAGCCCAAAAACCTCTAGTTTGGGGCCCCGATTTTGGGCTAAAAAACGGCGATTTTGGGGCCGCAATAAAGGGCAATGCGGGAGGAAGGATCCGGGTGTGTTTGTTATGGGGGGAATGGGGGGGTTTGGGGGGAAAAAGGAGAGTTTTGGGGTGACAAAAGATGGGGTGGGGGGAGATCGTTTTGGGGGCTAAAAACCCCATTTTTGGGGTTAAAAAGCCCATTTTTGGGGCTAAAATGCCCATTTTGGGGGGCTAAAAAGCCCATTTTGGGGGGTTCAGAGACTGGTTTCTGGGGTGAAAAAGAACATTTTTAGGGTTAGAAAAGCAGGGTTTTGGGGTGAAAAAGATCATTTTGGGGCTAAAAAGCCCATTTTTGGGGGCTAGAAATTCCATTGTAGGGGTCTAAAGCCTGGTTTTGGGGTGAAAAAGAACATTTTGGGGGCTATAAAATCTGGATTTAGGGGTGAAAAAGATCATTTTGGGGCTAGAAAGCCCATTTTTGGGAGTAAAATGTCCATTTTTGGGGTCTAAAGCCTGGTTTTGGGGTAAAAAAGAATGTTTTGGGGGCTAAAAAGCTCATTTGGGGGCATCCAAATCCCATTTTTGGGGCTAAAAACCCCATTTTTGGGGTTCCAAACACTGTTTTTTGTGCTCCAAGACCTGGTTTTGGGGTTAAAAAGCCCATTTTTGGGGTTCCATACCTTGTTTCTTGTGCTCCAAGATGCAGTTTTTGGGCTAAAAAGCCCATTTTTGGGGTTCCAAAGGCCCATTTTGGTGCCAAAAGCTGCAGTTTTGGTCCTCCAGGACCCATTTTTGGGGGTGCAAACACGCATTTTTCCGTCCCCAAGCCCCATTTTTGGGGTAAAACCACTCAGTTTTGGGTCAACTCCCCCATTTTTAGCCCCCCCAAGCCCCATTTTCGGGGCAACCCCCCCCATTTTTGGCCCTTCCAGACCCATTTTTGGGGTAAAACCACCCATTTTTGGCTTCCCGAGCCCCATTTTTGGGGTGAAACTCCCCAGTTTTAGGTCCCCAAGCCCATTTTGGGGTCAAAACCCCCTATTTTGGGGTCAAAACCCCCCATTTTTAGTTCCCCAAGCCCCATTTTTGGGTCTCCAACCCCATTTTTGGGGTGAAAACGCCTATTTTTAGGTCCCCGAGCCCCATTTTTAGGCCTCCAACGCCCATTTTGGGTCGAAACCCCCTATTTATGGGTCGAAAACCCCATTTTTGTGTCCCCAAGCCCCATTTTTGGGTGAAACCCCCTATTTTTGGGACTAAAAACCCCGTTTTTGGCTCAACCCCCCCTATTTTTGGGTCGAGAAACCCCATTTTTCGGTCCCCAAGCCCCATTTTTGGGTCAAAACCCCCCTTTTTTGGCCCTTTTTCCCCCCCAACCACACCCGAAGGCTCCTGCACCCCTTTAATACGAACCAGGGCACAAAGGGGGGGTCTATGGGGGGGTGGGGGGCGCCCCATGAGTGCCCATGGGGGGGGTGGGGGAGGGGCTCACTTGACGAAGACGACGCTGTTGGGGCCGGCGTTGCGGGCGGCGAGCCAGGCCAGGAACACGTCCCTGCGGTTTGGGGCGAAAAAGGGCGATTTTGGTTAAAAATGGGGTTTTTGGTTAAAAAGGGCTTTTTTTTGGGGGAAAAAAGGGGTTTTGGGTGGAAAAAGGGGGTTTTGGGGGAAAAAGGGGGTTTTTGGCCCGTTTTTGGGTGGTTTGGGGGTGGTTTTGTCTGTTTTGGGGGGTTTTGGGCTGGTTTTGCCCATTTATGGGTGTTTTGGGGCTGTTTTGGGGTGGTTTGGGGCCATTTTTGGCCGTTTCTGGGTGGTTTAGGGGTGGTTTTGTCTGTTTTGGGGGGGTTTTAGGGCTGGTTTTGCTCATTTCTGGATATTTGCGGCCATTTTGGGGTGGTTTTGCTCATTTATGGGTGTTTTGGGGCTGTTTTGGGGTGGTTTGGGGCCATTTTTAGCTGTTTCTGGGCTGGTTTTGCAAGTTTTTGGCGGTTTCTGGGTGTTTTGGGGCTGGTTTTGCTCATTTCTGGGGATTTTGGGGTCGTTTTTGGGTGATTTCGGGCCATTTTTTCCCGTTTCTGAGTGTTTTTGGCCTGATGTTGCTCATTCTGGGTGTTTTGGGGCCATTTTTGGCCATTTCTTGGTGTTTTGGGGCTGGTTTTGCTCATTTGAGTGTTTTGGAGCTGGTTTGGGGCCATTTTTGCCCGTTTCTGGGTGTTTTGAGGCCGTTTTTGGGTGTTTCTGGGTGTTTTGGGGGTGTTTTTGGGGTGTTTTGGGGTGTTTTGGGTACCCACCGGCAGTGCCTGACCACGCACTCGCTGCTGCAGTATTCCTCATCCCAGTCCCCGCTGGCCACGGGCGCGTTCCCGCATCCCGCCCGGATGCAGCGTGCGGGGGGGGGGTCCTCGGGTACCAGCTCCACGGCCAGGCCCGGGGGGGACTCGGCCTGCGGGGGGGGGGGGAACAGCATCGGGGACCATTGAGCCCCATTGAACCCCATTAAAATCCCATTGAACCCCATTAAATCCTGTTGGATCCCAATGAATCCTATGGAAATCCCAAATTTTGCCCAAATCCCTCCCAAATCCACAATTTCCCCCCAAATTCTCCCCCAAATTCCTCCCAAATCCACGATTTCCCTCCAAATTCCACCAAACACCCCGAAAAGTCCTCAAAATTCCCCCAAAATCCCAGCAAACCCCCAAATCCACCATTTCCCCCCAAAATTCCCACCCAATTTCCCCCAAACACCCCCAAATCAGCCGAAATTCCTCCCAAATCCACAATTTCCCCACAAATTCCATCAAAATCCCACCAAATTCCCTCCAAACCCCTCTTATATCCACCAAATTCCCCATAATTCCTCCAAAATTCCCCCCAAATCAGCCCAAATTCCTCCCAAATCCACAATTTCCCCCCAAAATCCCACCAAATTCCCCCCAATTCCGCCCAAATCCACAATTTCCCCCAAAATCCCACCAAACACCCCCAAAATTCCCCTTTAAATGCACAATTTCCCCCAAAATCCACAATTTCCCCCCAAAATCCCCCAATTTCCCCCCTATCCCCCCCCCATTCCTCACCTCTCCACCAAACTCCCCCCCCACCATCTCCACCACCTCCTCCTCTTCCTCCTCCTCCTCCTCCTCCTCCTTCTTCTCTCCTCCATCCTCTCCATCCTTCCCCTCCCCCCCCACTCCTCCTCCCAGTGCCGGTACTGGTGGTACTGGTGCCGATGCCGATGATGACGTCACCACCGGCGCCGCCAGCACGCGGAGGGGGGGCAGGATCTTGATGTGCAGGGGGGGGGTCCCCGGCGCTGGCGTTGCCACGGGCAACGTGAGGCGCAGGCGGGGGGGGGGCGCCGTCGCCGTGGCAACCGCGGACGCCGTGGCAACGGGGACCGGATGCTGCATGGCCTGGAGAGGGGGCGGAGCTTGCAACAGCGCCCCCCCTTGGATGGGAGGAGCGGGGACCGGCGGGGGCATCTGTTGTAATGGTGGCGGGTGGAGGCGCGGCGGCGGTACTGGTGGTACTGGTTGTACTGGTGGTACTGGTTGTACTGGTGGCGGTGGGGGTCGCGGTGGGACCGGGATGACGGCGAGGACGGAGGGAGCAAGGAGGAGTTGGGTGATGGGGGGGGAGGAGGGGGAGGGGGATGGGGATGGGGTGGGGGAGGGGGGGGAGGAAGGGGGTGGGGGTGGGGGAGGGGTGTCGGTGTCGGGGGCGTCGGAGGTCTGGAAGAGAAAAAGGGGGGGAAAAGGAGATTAATGGTTAAAATGGGGGTGGGGGACCCAAAAAGGGGGGAATTTGGCCCAAAAATGGGGTGGATTTAACACAAAACACATCTATGGTGGGGAAGAAATGGTTGTAACAATGGGGGACCCAAAAAGGGGGGAATTTGGCCCAAAACTGGGGTGGATTTAACATAAAATGCATCTATGGTGGGTAAGGAATGGTTGTAACAATGGGGGACCCAAATTGGGATGAATTCACCCCAAAACTCATTGGTGTTAAAAAACTGTTAATTCCATCAATAGAAGCCCCAAAAAGTGATGAATTCAGCCCAAATCCCAGCCCCATGGGACGCACCAGCACAGCGCGGTAGGCAGCCAGGGCCTTCAGGTATTCCTTCTTGGCTGCCTCCGTCTTCCTCTTGTACACCTGGAAAGGGGGGAATCAGATGGAATTTGGACAAATCCCACCCAAATTGGACGAAATTCGGCCAAAATTCATCAAATTGCTGAAAAATCCACCAAAATCGCACCAAATTTGACCAAAATTCATCAAATTGCTGAAAATTCCACCAAAATCGCACCAAATTTGACCAAAATGCATCAAATTGCTGAAAATTCCACCAAAATTGCACCAAATTTGACCAAAATTCATCAAATCGCTGAAAATTCCACCAAAATTGCACCAACTTTGACCAAAATTCATCAAATTGCTGAAAATTCCACCAAAATCGCACCAAATTTGACCAAAATTCATCAAATTGCTGGAAATTCCACCAAAATCGCACCAAATTTGACCAAAATGCATCAAATCGATGAAAATTCCACAAAAAACGCACAAAATTCCACCAAACTTCGTCAAATTGCTGAAAATTTCACCAAAACTCCACCAAAAATCGTCAATCTCACAGAATTCCACCAAAATTGTACCAAATCCCAGCCAAAATCATTGAATCGCCCAGAATTCCACCAAAATCGCACCAAATTCCACCAAATCTCCCCAAATTCCACCAAAATTGTGCCAAATTTCACCCAAATCCATCACCCCAAATTCTGCCAAAATTGTACCAAAACTCACCCAAATTCATCAAATCTCCCCAAATTCCACCAAAATTGCCCCAAATTTCACCCAAATTTATCAAATCCCAGCTCCCACCAGAATTTATCAAATCCCCCAAAATTCCACCAAAATTATACCAAATTTCACCAAAATTCATCAGATCCCTCCCAATGACCCCAATGGTGACCCCAATGACCCAATGATGACCCCAATGCTGATCCCAATGATCTCAATGACCCCAATGATGCCCCGAACGCTGCTCCCAGTGCCTCTCCCAGTGCTCCCAGTACCTCCCAGTACCCCCCCGGACCTGTTTCTGCTCCTCCCCGAGGCTGTCCCACATGGAGGCCACGATCTTGGAGACCTCCCCGAAGGTGGCGTTGGGGTTCTGGGCCCCCATGACCCCAATGATGACCCCAATGATGACCCCAGTGCCACTCCCAGTACCTCCAGTGCCGCTCCCAGTGCTCCCAGTGCTGCTCCCAATGATCTCAATGACCCCAATGATGACCCCAGTGCCTCTCCCAGTGCTCCCAGTACCTCCCAGTACCCCCCCCGGACCTGTTTCTGCTCCTCCCCGAGGCTGTCCCACATGGAGGCCACGATCTTGGAGACCTCCCCGAAGGTGGCGTTGGGGTTCTGGGCCCCCATGACCCCAATGATGACCCGAACCTGCCCCATGACCCCAGTGCCACTCCCAGTGCCCCCAGTGCCGCTCCCAGTGCTCCCAGTGCCGCTCCCAGTGCTCCCAGTGCCGCTCCCAGTGCTCCCAGTGCTGCTCCCAATGATCTCAATGACCGCAATGATGACCCCAGTCCCTCTCCCATTGCTCCCAGTACCTCCCAGTACCCCCCCGGACCTGTTTCTGCTCCTCCCCGAGGCTGTCCCACATGGAGGCCACGATCTTGGAGACCTCCCCGAAGGTGGCGTTGGGGTTCTGGGCCCCCATGACCCCAATGATGACCCCAATGACCCCAATGA